GAAATGCATTTTTTTTATTCCCCTACTCTGTCTATGGTTATAAAGTTACCAAACTACATAGGCGTCGGAACCGGGGGGGGGGGGGGGGGGGGGGGCTAGGGCCTTAGCCTTTTACTAGTATAGCCATTGAACATTGCTGCGTAGGTTTAGCCCCCCAATTTTTACAGACATGTTGCAGAATAGTTTTAAAATTAGGAATTCAAAGTGGTGCTGTTTGGAAAAAATTTGGTACTGAATATCGAATCCCCCCCCTCCCAGATCATGGCCTTTGGTTTAAAACATAACCCAAAGTCAATTGCAAAACTCATTATTTTGGATTTCAATAATTTATTCATGATTTATTCTGTAATATTTTTCATGAGTTAAGTCTTAAATCCTAGCTACTTTCATTGCAGAAAAGTACTGCTTGAAAAATGTCAGAGATGAAAACTTTAAAATATCGGAAATGAAAACAGTTCCGGAAATAAAATGCAGCCATTGAAACCATCCACCGTGAGTGTCTTGAATCTAATCCACAATATCGTACAAGTTACATTAAAACATTATCTATGGAAAACATCCTTAATTTGGTATCATATGATTTTTGCCCGTTCACACATACAAGAAATTTTGCCCCGTTTTAAATTCGCCCAGTCACAGTTCTGTTTAAGAATTTATACTGTGTTTTTTTAACTCGCCCCATTTTAAATACACTCACATGTAGTTGTTGCCATGACAACAATTGATGGAATATTTCATATATTTTTTCTGCACTCTCCATAAATACAATCATCAACACATTAATTTAATATTCATTTCCATGATGAACACTGATCCAAAAGTCAAATCTCTTTACAGGAGGCATAGGGTACATTGGTTGCCATGCACTGGGAATCGTTGCCATGTGTTGATTAAAGACGGGGAAAAAAATTAAGATTGACCAACATTTCATCGTCAATTTTGCTCAACCGGATTTTTCTGACTTATTTTGAATAAGCCTTAATAAGATTACACGAATACACGCCAAAATTACGTTTCTTTGCCTTGTTGCTATGGAGAACCTGCCGTTGCTATGGAGATAATGAATTATGCAATATTCTATAATGTGCTAGGCGAACCGAATTTAATTATACTATTTTAAAATTTGTATCTCGTTTATCATAAATAACCGTTCATTTGATTTTTCCCTAAACTTTTTACATTGTTTCTCATTTTATGCATCAGAAAGCCCATTTTTGTTGCTAGGCAACAGATTCGATCTTCAAAAGAGCCCATGGAATTGACTTCAAATTCTAAAAGAGAAATATCTCTGCTTTAATGTGAGATACATGCAACAACTGTATTAATCTGGCCATTTTTAGCCGGGCTTATTGCTCAAAGAGCAATTGCCGGCTTATGTGATCCTGTTCAAGGCAGGATGTTGACCCCATAGTCGCCATTTTAAAGTTACGTGCAAAAATATAGTTCTTACTCTCAACCGCTTTTGAGATAATACAAACGCTAAATAAAACAACAAAAATAAAACGAAGTTTTATCTATATAAAATAAACATTAGTAGTAATGACTTTGAAAACTTCATAAGTCAAAGAACATAGTTCATTAGCGTAAGGATTTTTGATAATCAGTGTTACCGTAGTTCTCTACACATACGAGGTAAAGCAGGAGAGGGAACCAGATTGGCCTGTTTGTTTACATTCAGCTGCGGTTCCAGATTAATTTTGATTCTGACAAAATCGGACCGTGGTATTAGGATTGAAATTCACTGTCAGTGTCTTATCATTTGTATTGATAGTTTTAAAATAATTTTTTCATCAGAATATAAACATGATAGGCAACAGATTCGATTTTTATGGATTTGACTTCAAATTCTTCATGTAAGAAATCCATTCTACTCTGTAAATGAGCCCGGCTCTCTGTACTTCTGAGTACTTTGATTAAAATTTGGCCTTGAATATTGCCAAAATCACGAAAAATGCTGAATCAGCAAATCTTGTAAAACATGTGTACCTTCCAACGTCTACCACAGAACTGACTTAAGACCTAAATATTTTTTATTACATTATTAGAACACAATAAATATGTATCTTTATTACACCTATAAGTAAGAATAATTCTCATGGTATTTACGTGTTATTTTAAGCCTCAAAGATAGGTGATTTTTTTGTCCTTCAACACTGAAAAATCTGCCCGTTGCTAAGGAAATTTCTTTGGCAGGGTTTCCATGGTTACCATGACTCAAAACATTTTTCACTTTACATACAATGTTCATACTTCAAAATAAATCTATGAGTGGAAAATCATCAAATTCTGAAAACCTTCATGTATCACTTTTTTACAGTTTTGTCTGATTTTTATGTGGACTGGTACTTAATATTTCCACTGCACCAAGGTGCGACTTTTTGCACATGCTGAAAAAATAACACATTTGAGAAAAAAATTATATATTTTAATCATAAGAAATTGATTTCCTTTTTATGTATCATTAAACATTAAACATCGCACACTAAAGGGTGCGTATCATTGCCGCTATACATTTTTGAATTTTTCATTACCGCTACATAGTAATTACCGCTATAAAAAAACGTTACATTACCGCTACATATAAAAGTAGGCCTATACATTACCGCTACATTGCCTCTTTCGTTAGCCAACTACTTATGATGGGGTGAAAGAAGGACTTTGAGCAGGATATTTTTTTTTATTATTAAATTTTTTTTAATTAAAATCTATTTTTAATTAATAAAACACTTTAAAAATTCTAAAATCAAGCACTCTTCATAGATAAAACCCACAGTCTTCACACTGTCTTGTAAAGTAATCCGGCATTCCCGCGATTTGTTACAAACTTCTCAATAGTAACCATGACGTTCAAGTGTCGCTAAATAATTACATTCCAACTAAAGAAATCACAGGCACCTGACGGTACTTATTTTTCTTTTATTAAAAAAAAACCAAGGCTTGGTTTATTATAAGGTAAGGGTATATTTTTTTTATTAAAAGAAAAATAAGTAACGGCAGGTGCCTGTGAAAGAAATATATATATATTAGACGTCGCGCACGGTGTTGGTGTCAAAAAGCATTTGCGCTATTTTCATAATTTTAAAACAATTCATTATATGAAAACTGTGTATCATTCGGTTGATAATCGTATACTTAATTAATTTTAACAAAAATGTTGATAAAAAAAATTCCATTTGTCAAAGATATCAATTTGATTATTCCGTTAATTAAGTGAAAAACGCATGTAGACCGGTAACAGGAGCGTAGCACTCGCAATTGCAAAATGTTGATAACTTCCATAAAACAAACAATACAAACATAAAATTTGGCAGAAAAATTCAAAATATGATGTAAATGATGTAAATTCTTACAAGTGTGATGTCATTCAATCCGTATGCTCTGAACGCGTTGATCAAATCCAAAACAGAGACGTAGACAAGCGTTAATCGACGAAATATGGGATACCCATAAAAAGTCTTCGGTTACTTAGAAAAATAATTACATGAACTACATCTATTTTGAAATTACATCTCAATCATTCTTTTTGTAGAATAGACTGATATTTTGGGTTGATATGCATGTTGAATTTCTAATTTTAAGCTGATTTATTGTGAGGATGTTGAATAAGATGGTGTGTCACAAAGTTTGGAGGTTCAGTGTCACAAAGTTTTTAAGATCAGTAGATCGGCCAATTTTGTAACACTGGGTGAAAAATTAATGTTGAAAATTATTTTAAATTCTTCAAAATGTCACAGTTATGTTATGTCACAGACGTAAAAAAAATAAGGGCGTATTGACGTTATTACGTTCACACTACTCATGCATAAAAATATAATCTAAAACGTCAAAAGATTTTATATAAACCTACTCCTATGGCCGATAAGCCTGATATACCCGGTAGCATCGTTTGAAATACATGTACTTTATGGGCTGAGGATAGGGACTTTGAATGAAAAAATAGTTCAGTGCTATTAAATAAGCAACATATCTACAATCACACAATGTACTGAATCAAAGGACAGATACTAGCACATACTGATATGTATGAAATTATTTTGAATGTATCTCAATTAAATAAAAAGCAGGTAAGTTTAAATTTCTACCGCACTTTTTATTACATGCGGCAAATTATCCACATATTTCCCTCCCGCATTATGCATGCAAAATTGCAGAAAATTTATCAACATGTGTTTTCAATTAACTGCATTGTATATATTTGACGACATTTACAGAGTTTTAATTTTTCCTTAATAATAAATGTAAGTAAGAAAGTAACGTCAAATCAATTCTTTTCTAACGTCACGTAAAATAACGTCATTTTGATTCTGATTAAAATTCAAATCGGAATGGTATTTCACTCATAGTGAGTGAGTTCAGGTGATTGGAACTCATATTCCATACTTGGCTGATTCGATATGTAGCGATAATGAGTTGTTTTCGGCCAAAAAAAATGTAGCAGTAATGATCGGTCGAAATTTTGAAAAAATGTAGCGGTAGTGAGTTGAAATTTTAGGCGATGTAGCGGTAATATATTGACCTCCCTTGTAGGGTGTAAATACAATAAAAAATCGCCGTCTTAACCCCCTCCAAAAGGGGGGGGGTGACCCTCAATAATTTATTTCTCACTTAATATTTGGACATCACTGTACGTATATAATATGCATAAACATTCAAACGAAAATGAAAAGGAAGTGAATCATTTTACACCATGTATACATGGGACAAATTTTGAATAACAAAGTTTTCACAGTGGAACAGTTTAGATTTATTTAAAAAGTATATATATACATTTTTTTACCTAATTATTAGTAAAGTTTACAATTAATGCTTAAATAGGATGTCATGAGGGCTTAAACTATACAACTTACTTTAAGGACCGTTTATCTTCATCGTAAATGTCAAGAAAAAAGAGATTGGCTAATTAGATATTATAAAAAAAAATTCTCGTAATTAGGAGTACATCACAAGTGCCAACACATTGTGATTACCTGTTTAAAGTGGGAGGGGCTAGTGACAATACAAACAGCTGAGCACCTGGCCTTCCAGTATTACAACGTGCGCGTGACAGTATGGAAACTTCATATCTTATAGTGTAAGTGATTTTCTTATAAGTAGATTTTTGAAAAATATATATATAATTGTAGTTATGTATAGGGTAAGAGAACTATATCCAAAAATGTAACTTATTTATGTTTAAAGGATTATGTACTTTTTATAATTTTTTTTTTTTTTTTAGAAACTATTGATATTCAAACTACACTGTATATTGCATTATTAGATGATGGAACATCAGAAAGTATTTCAGTTTTTATCAAGAAATTACTCATATATATATATATTACCAATCACTTATCATAAGGGCACCAAAAACTATACCCTATAATACAAATAATACATATTAGCTCAAATAAATGTGAAATCTTGGAGCTTAGCAATGAGTTAAAAAAAATCATATTTCATCGATTCATAATTATTTTGTGGTATATTCATAAAAATTAGATTAAAAAATTAGATTAACACTTCCGTGTTTTGAATTTAGTTAAAAATCCGTGTTTTGAATTTAGTTAAAAATTCTACATCCAAGATTTTACCAATTGCAGTCATTTTATATTCATTTGCTTTTTATACATTTTTCGATTATAATACTTTATGCTTGATAAACATGTCATAATAACATTTTTTTTTCATCTTTCAGGTTTTATACCTTATGCAGTGTATACGGTGTTGTAAGCCAAAGTAAGTAAATTTCCCCCCTCTCTCAACAGAGCAGCAAAACATCTCTCTCCCCTGTTTTCTGTCTTAAAAGAGTATCCAATTATAACTTATTTTTATTTATTTTCTTAACCCATTAGGGGGCAATGTTATCAAAACTGACTTAAGCAATTAAGTGAGATTATCGCCATAAAATGTTTTTCACAGCTTTTGTTAAGCCCTTTATCTACAGTAAGCATGTTTTAGCTTACTCGTGGATTTGCTAACAACTCAACTAAAGACCCCTATGATTCAAACAATTATATTTCTTTGTCCATTTGATCCTTAGAAGACCATTAAAGGCTTTAATCAGTGATTTCTTACCCTTTACACAAATCCCACATTATCCTGTAATAACACTTTTGGGATGTTTTGGTTTCTATAATAATCTCTGCTACCATTTATTTGATGCGATAGTTTATCAAACTTTTACAATAAGGTGGAATAATGCGATGGCAAGTTTGCAGGGTGGCAGGAAATAATCTTGGTCAGTTGTGGTGAAATTTCTTTCCAGTCCGGCGCGGAGGGAGCGATAAAAATCGACAAACAAATAGTTCCTATCATCTTCAACAAAGATAACATTAAAGAAATGATAACATTTTTTACAAATTAAGCAATTCGCGTGTCTGTCCATTTTTCTTATCTCTTGTATACAGTTTCTGACTTCTCTTAGTCTGAGTTTTGTGATTCATTTAATAAACAATATAGCGTAAAGTTCAGATTATTTTAATCCTAAAACGTATTACTAATGTACTATTTTGACAAATTTCTTCACTTTTTCCTCAAAAGTATACTTTCGCAATAATTTTGAGAAACTATAGTACACCCATAAATTAATATTTATCATGAAAAAGAAAGTTCTATTTCTTAAAGTAACTAAAAAAAATATTTAACGAGAACTTGTCCCCTATATAGTTCAACTATGGGAATCTAATTTATAGAATGTAAATATCTATCTCATCAACTGAAATTTAAACAATATGAAAGTTATCAAATATATTAACTCTAATTTTTTTCTTCGGATTATTAGATTCTGATTAACTTGGTACAATGTTTCATTTTTTGACAGGTACTGTGAATTCGTGCTGTAAGAATGGGGGTATATGTGTCCTCGGTACATTTTGTAAATGTCCAAAGTAAGTCAAAGCGGTTTAATATTTTGTAACAGTTGTGAAATATAGAAAGACTTCTTTTGCTCTTGAATTCAATTAAAGTCATCATTTTTTATTTAAAATCTGTTCTGCCTTGGAAGAAAGAAAATAGTATGCTTCGTGAAAAAAATCATACTTTATTTTATTTGTTTCCATTCATTTATGCAAAATTTCTTTACAGGTTTTATATTGGGCGATACTGCCAGTATGAAATTAACTACAAGAATTGTAGGAACGTTCCCCATGGTTATTGGATCCGCTCCGATTGCAATAAGTGTCGGTGTTTCAACGGCAGGGTTGTGTGCATCCCAAAATATTATTTTGGTTGCGGTAAGAAGTATATGGGTTTTTTTTTCTTTTATAATTCTGAAATAGCAATGATATATTTTCCTCTTCTGATATTGCGCTAGAAATTACTTTTCGTTTCTTACAGCATAGATAAACAAATCAAGTGATCATTGTATATATGATTGATTTGTTGAGCGTTGGTTAATTTTTTTTTTTTTTTTGTTCATATGTTTCTGTCTATTTACTGATTTATTTAGATATAATCACATAATTTTTCAAATGTCCAACATGAGAAATATTAAAATTTTAATATACTCTTGACATTTGGACTTAAATCTATTGAGAAAAAAATATCAGTTCTTAATGTATTAAATTTCTTCTTTTATGAGAAAATTCCATTCAATTTCTCAAATATAAATATTCATAAAATTTAACATTGAACCACATGTTGCACCAAACATTCACCCTTTAGTGAATGATGAATTGGTTTTTTATTTTGTTTGAATTGATAAAAAAAATTTCACGACATCTAGCGTTTATTAAGGAATCGCTGTCTAGATTGTTGGGTTTGCCAGGGCATCAACGATAGTTGGTTTGCATACTATTTGCATAACGGGCAAAATTTATTGAAATACATGTATAAGTATAGCTATACATGTACCACTTTTCCCTTCGAAATATTATCACCGAAATATTTGCTTTATGGGTAACGAGAAGGATGAGGAACCATGCTTTCATCGTGTGATACCATAAAAAGGCAACTGATTTTGACATTTCAAGTCTGCTTTTTATTTTTATTTTTGGAAGAAAGTTCGGGAGGGCTGGAAGGGTGTGTGTGAAAAACTAAGGTTTTGAAAGTATGTTATTAGAATAATTATTGCGTAAAAGAGGAAAATAAAACACATTGATGTTTCAACCTTTTATAAAAGTTGAAAGTAAGACTTGTGTTGTTGTTGTTTGTTTTGTTTTCTTTCTTTCTTTTTTTTTTTTTTTTTGGTCAGTGTTTTAATCCAATCATTGTATTTTACAGAAGATGACGACGAACCCCTGGATCCAACCAAGAAAATAGATCCATTTGGCGGAAAGACCATCACCATATATGCAAAAGACCCGGATGTTCGATATCCCCCCACCTCTACACCACAAGGGTCGATCGGGGAGCTTTATGATGACGACTATTACTACAGTGATATTTCAGACAGTGCCACTTATGCCCAATTTTCCTTCCTTGTTTCTGTGTGCTTGTTGTCTATCAACTTATTGTGACTTGTGCAATGATTTTAAGGGAAAAAACACATTGCATGCTTTATTTTTATTCTGTGTGTGTCGGGGGGGGGGGGGGTAGTGCAATAATATATGTGTGTTGATATGTGTTGTATCTGTGCTAAATTGCTTTCACTCAAAGTGAAATGTTAAATTTGACTGTAAATATACTCTATTTATCAAACAACGAATACATTATGAATATAACTTGTTTGTAGTTGTTGTTTTTTTCATAAGCTCACTTGAGCCACAAGCTTTCTTTATTATTGTCCACAAACTCTCAGCATCTGCCAGTTGCATGGGATTGGTCATATATTAAAATACAAAAAATTGCTGACTATAAAAGTTCCAACACAAATTCTTTACTTCAAAAAAATTTTGTGGGACGGCAGTATGTCTTGAATTTACAATATTTTGGCTTCTGTGGTCAACTTTTAGCAAAGCTGCTACAAAGTAGAGTGTTCAATTTCTTTGAAAGGTAGACTTAGACAAATTTTTAATCTTATATAGATAACCAAGAAATTTAAAAGAAAAATATTTGCATAAGAAGCACAGAGTAATAGGACATTTTAACCAAACAAATGCCTTTTCATAAATGTCAATACACTTGAAAACAACAATGATTCAAATATGTAGGCGTCCTAATTGAGCAGGTTATATATCAATTAAAATTTCGCATCTGATTGAAAATTATTGAAACAGTAGATAATATATAAGTAAATATTAATATTGTATGACAGGGATATACAACAATAATAATTACACATATAATTTTACAAATATAACAAGTACAATATTCGTGTAAAGTTGACATGTAGCATACAGATTTATTGTTGATAGTCTCTAATTTCAAAAGCTTTTAAAATATATTTTCCAAGTCAAGATAACATTTTTTGAACATAAATAATTACCAATGGTGAGCTGTATAATTTTAAACACAGAGGGGTTGCTCCAACAAAAAGATGTGTTTGTGAAATTCTGATGCCCCCGTATGGAAGCTTACGGCGAAAGTTGAAGTTTCTTTAATGCAAATCAAACCACAAGGTCAAGGTAAAAAATGTTGGTTCTTGCCACAAGGTATACACCTGTGAAATATGAAAACCCTAGTTGTTGAAAAGTTATGGCCATGCATTGATTTTTTTTTTACAAAGTTGGTCATGCTCTGAAGTTAAGGTCAAAAGGTCCAAAATATGTATACTAACTGAAAGGTCTTGTCCCAGTGAATATACATGTGAAGTATGAAAGCCTTAGCACCAACTATTAAGTTATGGCCAAGGTTAAGGTAAAAGTGGGCCAAACTCCAACTTCAAGGTCAAGAGGTCAAATTTGGTGATACCCAGAGAAAGGTCTTGTCACGAGGAATACATCTGTGAAATATAAGAAAGCCTTAGCTTCTCTCATTCAAAAGTTATGGGCTAAGTTAAAGAATTTGCGGACAAACAAACAGCTAGACAGACAGACAGGACATAGACTTCGATTACGGGGACATAAAATATTTCACTGTCATATGATGATAAGATTTACTGACACAAGCACACTTGCTAAATGATCATCTGTAAACCCATCCTTACTAAATGTTTAAAATGAATTGGTTATCAATATTACAAAGAGAAAGTATACATTTCTCAGAATACCCTGGTATTTTCCCTGGCGAATTTTTAAAAATGGTACAGTGTATATATATTTATTAATATCCTGATATAAATTCATTGTGTGCCATATGTATGACATAATGTGCGTTTTATCAGTGGTTTAAAGGGAAGTGTTGTTAACTTTCTATTTGGAAATAATATAATTTTACATATCTCACCCTAAATGTAAATATTCGAGTTACTCCAAGAATATCCAGATGGTCAAAAATTAAAATGTCATCACAATTAAGATTTTATGGATTCTTCCGCTGTCCTGATTGTAACGCTCACTGGGAGAGCGCCTATACCTACAAGAAATCTAGGTATTCAGAGGTATGGATTTCACTATTTCCTATAATTACTGAGTATATCAGAATTTCTTATAACAGTATTATTTCTGTTATTATGTCCCAGTGAACGAAGTTTCGGGGGTGTATAGTTTTTGTCGTGTCCGTCTGTTTGTTTGTCCGCAAAAACTTCATTCATGCCAATAACTTTTGATTTAGTGGAGCTATGACTTTCATATTTCACATGTATACTCCTTGTGACAAGAGCTTTCTTTGGGTACCACCAAATTTGACCTTTAGACCTTGAAGTTTGACCCACTTTTACACAAAAAGTCCAAACTTTTACTTTGGCCATATCTTTTGAACAGTAAATTCCAGGACATTTATACATCACATATGTATTCTTTGTGACAAGACCTTTCATTGGATACCAAAAACCTTGACCTTGGAGATTTCCTTACTTATGAAAAATCTTTAACCTTGGCCATCACTTTTGAACGCTAAGGATTAATGACCTCATACTTCTCAAATGTAATTCTTGTGAAAATACCCTTCATTGGATACCTAGAACTTTGACCCTTTGACCTTGGAGTTTGGCCTTCTTTTAAAAAGCAAACCTTGGCCATAACTTTTAAAGGGTTAGGGTTAGTGCTTTCATACTTTACATAATTAATCCTTGTGACAAAACCTTTCATTTGATAGCAGGATCTTTGACCTTGACCTTGGAGTTTGACCTACTTTTTAAAATTTTTAACCTTGGTCATAACTTCTGAACGGTTAGGACTAGGGCTTTACTTTACATATGTATGTTTTGTGGCAAGACCTTTCATTGGATACCAATTACCTTGACCTTTTGACCTTGGAAATTTTCGTACTGATGAAAAACTTTAACCTTGGCCTACTTTCATGATTCAGAATTGTATTTCCAGTGAGTTTGCATTTAAGAAAAGTGTAATCTTGCTATGTTGCCATACGAGGGCATCAGTGTTTCCCAAACACAGCTTGTATATAAACTTTCTCTACTGGTTTGTGCACACAGATAAACAAAAATAGTTCACCCGGTCCTGCGGGACTTGAACCCATTTCTCTTCGTTTTACATTTACACATTAATAACGTTTTGAACAACTATAGTTCAGGTGAAGCTGCACTTCTTGGGAAAATAAGATGTGTTTGTGAAACACTGATGTCCCCGTGTGGTTCCAAGCTTTTGGTTAGGGTTGACCTTAGAGTTTGAATCACTTAAAAACTTGATTAAACCTTGACCTTAAATATTGAACTGTTAGAACTAGGGCTTTCTTATTCTAAAAGAGTATTCCTAGTGAAAAGACTTTCGGACTTTGTGGCACCTATTATTTCAAGCTCTGTGGGATACACCGAGTAGGCATATGAATCAAATGAACTATAGTTAATTGATAATTTATTTGCATCGTCGGTACATCTAAATGTCGAGTTGAAGGACACAGCAAGTGTTTTCTTCCCGTGTAGAATTTTTAAGAATAAATTCTGCTTTTATGGAACACACGTCCATAAATATATCTGTTTGTAACGGGCGCAATTGGTACCCATGGGAATTCAAAATAGTTCAGTTACTTTAGTAGAATGACAGATTATACAGTTAAAGTATATTGATGGAGTTAGCAAAATTCCAGTTCCCCATGGCCGAGACGCAGCTGAGGGTGATAGTCCTGGTCGAGGGGAACTGGAATCTTGCTAACCACCTCAATGATATACGTTTAAACTGTTTAATTATACCTCTACAGATTTTTCCAATAATGAATAATATAATTTAACACACCCATTTACTATATTATTTGTTTCAATAATTATCTAATTTATTTTGACACAACATATGAGTGACCTCGATGCGAATTTACTTTATTTTAATAACATAATATGGAATACTAGCATTCAACTTTAAAGAAATAAAGGGAAGTAACTGAGGTGTTACAAATTTCTATGAAAAAAATGCAATTTCATTATATACGGTATATATATAGACCCGAGGGTTACAATGCTCATATCGATGTACGAACATGTATATGTTATATTTCTGACACCATAGCAATACTAAAGATTAATTGCTGAATATAACACAAGCAGTTGAATGCTATATATATAATAAACTAAGGATACATGTATCTATGCTTTTCGTTTTCTTTTAATCTACTATCACGCTGAGAAAGCCACAACAAATTCTTTCTTTCAAGTTTTATTTGAATAAAGTTAGTAGATTAATTAATACTATTATCCATTTGTTATGTTGAAAACTTTTTTCTTAAAGATTTAAACAAACTTATAATACTTAATTTCAGACTTATTACGATCAAGACTGCAAAAGCTGCAACACAGCATGTCAGCCATACAAGGTAGAACGATTACGCTGTTCCGTGTGTGGAAGTCAGGATTGCAGGTGCACAAAGGCAGATAAAGCGGCCAGACACAACGATCCAAATAAGCCACACCGCTCGGACTTGTGCCACAAGTGCCGGTCGGGGTTCCCATGCCAATAATCTACTTCCAATGAAAACCCCATTGTATAGCCAGCTGATGGCAATGTTTTGGAATCCATTTTTTCTTTACTGGACATGATACACAACATATGTTACTTTAAAAACAAAAGCCTGGTACATCAAATATGTTATTTATAATAACTGCACGATTCATCAAATACTTTATTGTAAATAAATGCATTACATGTACATGTACTAGGTATCATATACATTTGTACTGAGTACATGTATAGCGATGCATAACAATAGTGTTTGCGACTTTTCAAAATGGCGTACGTAACCACGACGCATTTTGTTAAAATAAACACTAAATTGTGAAACAATTAACGGACTTAACTTTATTGATATTTTGTGAGGTGGCCCTTAAACTTGATTACAGCTCATAGTCGAGTGGGAATGGATTCGCATTGATTACAGCTCATAGTCGAGTGGGAATGGATTCGCAGTGATTTGATATACTAGTAGTTTCATCGAAGAAATTCCAGATGAAATAATTGTTCTTTAATATTTGAGTTCGATTTTACAGATTAAGTTTTTGTTTTTATTCTTAGCTATAAATTCTCTGTAATATAAATTGCCTGTGATTGAACTGGTCATATAACTGTATTAATATTATTTTGTTGTTTGTAGTCTTGAGTAATACAAGCTGTATGTATTTTTCTAGCAGACTGTTGATGGATATTAAGCCTGTGATTATGATCAATTTATTACCGGGTAATCTATTTACTGTTACATGTACATTTTTATTGTATAAATGTCATTTTCTCATCACGAATAAATCATATTTACATTTACATTTTCCAATGTCTTTCTCTGAGATAAAAATACAAATAAGGTAATGGCTTTATAACCCAATAAATCGATCTGCTTAGCACGTGACAGAACTGCATGCTTTTTTCGCTGCGCGTTGCATAGTAATGCACCTGGTTGGGATGCTGAGATTTCTTACTATTGATTTTTTTTTATTGAATTAAGGTTCAGGTAAAAATGTACATGTAAGGAATAAAACTGATTTTAAGGTTTTACGATGATGATCAATTAATTTTTGCTCGTGCAATAATTTTACGCAGAAACGCCGAAATACTAGTATCACGGTGACGCGAGCCAATTGATTACCATTTGATCACATCATAAAACCAAAAACTAGACATTTATTCCTTTGGTAAAACTAAAAAGTATTTTATTACGATAGTGAACTGTTCATATAGCGCAGGCCACTTCCATTGTTTATTAAACTACATCAAGACTCCATTTAGTTTTAAACATATATTTTTATTAGGAGTAAATGTAAAATTTACAACATGATAATTGTAAAATTTGCATTTATATTGTGATGGACCTTGTATTACTTGTATAATGCCTTATGGTGCTGTAAACCTCTTCAAAATTATGTGGAAATACAAACTAAAACTATATCTTTATTCATTTTTATCCCCTCGTAACTGAAGGTTCGGAGGTATATAATTATGCTTATGTGTCTGTCAGTCTGCTTGTTCGCTACAGCTTTATTCTTGTCTATAACTTTTTTGAAGCTATGGTTTTCATATATGATATTTTGACCTTGGAGTTTGATTTTGAACAGTTGCTTCTGGGGCATTATATTTTGCATGTATATTTCTTGTGACAAAGTTTTCTCCTATGTACCATAACCTTTGACCTTGACCTTAGAGTTTAACCCACTTTAAGAAAACAATATTTTTACCTTGACGTAGAGGTTTACCCACAATTAGGAAATCTTTAACCTTGGTCATAACTTTAAAACTTTTAAAGTAAAACCATGCCTTTAATATTCCAGAGGTGTATTCCATGTGACAAGACTTCTTTTTGGATACCATCAATTCTGACCTTGACATTTGAGTTGTACCTAGTTTTGAAAATCCTTAACCATAGCTAAAACTTCTGATTCATTAGTGCTAGACCCTTTATATAACACGTATATCTCTGGTCATAAGACCCCCCCCCTTGTTAACATTAATTTTGACCTTTGACCTTGGGGTTCATTAAAAAAACTTTAACTGCCACAACTTTTAAATGGTAGATTTCATAGGTATATTTACTGAGACAAGTCCTTTCTTTTGGAAACAAAATTTTGAATCTTTTAATCTTGATTTTGGAGTTTGACTTGCATTTTCCCCATAAGCTGCAAAACACATAGGGCATTAATGTTTAAAAAATCTTATCTATTTGTCTTTAAACTTCTGATTGTTTTATGGTTTTTCAAATTAAAATATAGTAAAAAAATTATTATTGATAAGGTATGTGTACATGTATCTTGTTTATGGCCTTAAGATAGCAATGGATCACGTAATGCCATCATGTGTTGCCAAATGGACATTGGTACTTACATATAGCTCTGTTTGTTTGTTGTTTAACATCCCTCTCAAGCATTTCTCACTCACATGGAAACGCCACCACTTGCGACATATTTGCAACTATGATAACTGTGCATTTCTAGTTGTTATTATGTGCCCCGATTGATAGATTCAGGGCGTAAATTGTTATTGTCCTGTCTGATTGTCTGTTTATCTGCCTGTCTGTTGTCAACTTTGACCTTTGCCATAACTTTTGAACCATGAGAGATTTCATATTTAGTATGCAACTATGCATACTCCACTAATTAAGTTCTTTCAAATGATATCAAGGTCAATGACCTTGTGACCTTGAATGTGACCTATATGCTAAAAACAGCTTTTTCGAACTTTGTTGCCACCGAGCGCATAGTGTTTCACAAACAAATCTTGTTTTCATATTACAAAAAATAACACTTTCATTTTCTTGACATTATGAAATTTAAAATAACAACAAGAATATCAAATTTATTCAACAAATAAATTACTGTACATGTATATATTTCAATTTGAATATGAGATAAGAATCATATGTATCAAATGATTGACAGCAGTGTTTTTTATCCTTTATGTTGAAGGCAGAGATAATGACTGGCCTGATTTTTTAAAAACCCAATCTATCCTCACACATGTACACATAATTCCCTATATATACATTACGCTGGTGAAATAATACAATTTCACTGATGCAAGTATAAAGAATAACTGAATCTTTGACTTTCAAAAAAATAAATGATATTGTGAAGATATTGTTAGGATAGGACTATTGAAATGCAAATTTAAACAAAATATTCTTTCATGAGGTTCAATATTTTGCAGGATTAAATGTTAACAGGATTCATCAATTTTAAAGTGAGATAAACATGTATTCTGTTATTGATGTGACTATCCTATCTCTTAGCATCAAACACAGCTTCACATTGCTTAATAATTATCATATTCAGCAATTTTACATCTAGCAAATCAGGATACGACGAACTAGTAAAAACATAAACAACGTGTAAAAAACAAAGGTTGATAAACGAAAAATGAAAAGGTAAAAATCCTATTGAAACTTTACATTGCTAATTAGTGATTAATATTGTTTATCTTTGTTTGTTTAACTTGCAGCATCTTTGGGTTTTTTTAACTTTCAACGTTGGTATTTGCCCTTGATTGTACATAATTTCGGTATAAAATACTGATATAAATAGCCAACAAAAGAAGTACAAATATATCATCCAGAAATCCCAGAATTCCAAACACAGCTTCTGGGATAATGTCTAAAGGTGAAATAAAGTAGAATAAGGCTGCTAGGAAAATTGCTATAATGCGCAAACGGAACATACATATTAGTCCTCCAACAGAGAAGAATTCCCTTATGGCATGTCGTAACAGCGTCGGTAAATCTCGTAGATAGTCCAGCAACTAATTAGAAAAAGGGAATGAATTATTGATTCAAAATTCATATCATTATAAATATCAACAACAAATTACAAGCAAATGTACAAATGAATGTGTTAAGTGAAAAACAAGTTGTAATTTAAAGGTACTGAAAATGGTTTCTGCATCATGCACCATGCATTTAAAAATTCTCAACAAATGAGAAAGTTTATTAAATGTTAGAAATTCTGAGGATACATGTACTCATAATTAAAACTTAGCTAGAATTCTTCAGGATTATATTAATTATTTTGACATCAAAATCAAAAAATTTTAATTTTGAAAACTTGTATTCAATTTGAATTCATTTCATTGTTAGAAATTCTGAGGATACATGTACTCATAATTAAAACTTTGCTAGAATTCTTCAGGATCATATTAATTATTTTGACATCAAAATCAACAATTTTTAATTTTGAAAACTTGTATTCAATTTGAATTCATTTCCCTAGATATATTGTGTATTAAATTTTTGAAATATTTCATCTTAATATAATGGCTACTCGTGGAGTTTCATTCATTTAAATGAAAATTGGTCCAGTGGTTTTAGAGAAGAAGATGAAAACTAGAACTGTCTAGTAGGGACAAATACCCCCGCTAGGTTTTTCAGAGAAGGTGCCAATTCACAAATACTTTATGGATCTAGAGGTGTTCACAATTTACTTATGACACTCGCAAACTAATTGTTGAAAAAAAAATCATATTATACAAAATCGAATTAATCTTGATAACTTTATATCAAATTCATTTTGAAAATAAATAGCTGGTCATCCAGTAATGAAGGGCTGTGACAGACAATAAATTACAATAAAGAGAATAAGAGAAGAGAGATTTTTAAGTCTTGTGCCAAATTCCCAGGAGATATAGATAAAATATGGTTGATAAGAGATGCCGTAACAACTTCCCACACCAAACTCATTAATTTATCTTTAACTGGATGCATGTCCAGTCATTATTCCCACGAGACAAATGAATTTACATCATCTTCTGTATAATGTAAAAACTGTTTTTAACACTTGATGATGTTTCTTTTTTTTAATGAGTAGTTTTAAGCTGAAGTTCACATTTTTGTACAGATATTCTAGATTCTATGTCTCAAACTAAACCTTATACATGAGCACAAAATGAACAATTCAGTCAATTAAAATAAAAAAAAAAACCTGTAAAAATGCAAAAAAAATGAACAAATAAAGTTGAAAATTCCAGGTGCACACCTTCATATGGTGAATAATAAGTGTACAAATTTTCAGATAAATCCTTTTAATAGTTTCTGAGAAATGGTCTGCACAAAACCACAAAATAAAAATGAAAAAACATCTGTAAAATTCAAAATAATCATCCAATCAAGATGAAAATATCAGGTGCACACCTTCATATGGTTTTTTTTTTTTTTTTTTTTTTTATATATACATTTATTTCCAATAACAAACAACAAAAATTTTGAGGTAAAACTTCCTCAGAAGCCCTCGGTTAATACTTCACCTGGGGTGCCAGGAGCTCCCTGGATCGGTATATTTTTCATTTTTCAATTTACAAAAGTTTACAATATAGAAGAACTAATATTTCATTTTCACAAAAAAGACATAAATATTTCAGTAAATAAGAAAAACATTTCATATTTAATACATATATAGATAAAATATCAATTTAATTACAACGTATATAGAAAAATAAAGATTATAATTCGTCTGCTAACTTTTTCAAAAGATGGTAATTAGATTTAACACTTTTTGCACTCTTTGCTATTACATAATACTGATATAAAGACGATTTCAAAAAAAATAACATTTCATTTTGATTTACTATTTCGTTTTGCAACCTACATTTCATTTTATATTTATATAATTTGTATCCCACAATTGATATGGCATTATTAAAAATCAATGTTGTGTTATTGAACTCATTATAAAATCCTACAACAATATGTTTCCAGGATAGATTTAAATTCAATATTTGAGATATTTTTTCCCATATTCCTTTTGAGTCCGTACATTCAAAAATTAAGTGTTTAATATATTCTACTTGTCCGCAAGATGTACACCCATATCGAAAATAAATATAAAAATAATAGATTAAAATAATACAAAAATAATACAAAAAAAGTATATTTTTAATAACCAAATTTGGAACCCTTTTTATCTTGGTTCCAAATTAGGTCAAAAATAATACACTTTCTTAGAAATGAAACACAAAAAAATATATTTTTAATATACTTTATTTCTCAGTAAAAATACAAAAATAATACACTTGATGTATTTTTTCTGTACTCTTGTATTTTTTCTGTATTAAATCCATATCTGAAGTACAAAAATAATACAATTTAAAGAAGAACTAAAAAATACAAAAATAATATAAAATGTATTAATTTTGTATCAGTCTATTATTTCTGTATTATTTGGAGCACCTTGAAAAAAAAATAGGAAAATAATACAAAATGTATTAATTTTGTATCAGTCTATTATTTCTGTATTATTTGGAGCACCTTGAAAAAAAAAATAGGAAAATAATACAAAATGTATTAATTTTGTATCAGTCTATTATTTCTGTATTATTTGGAGCACCTTAAAAAAAAAATAGGAAAATAATACAAAATGTATTAATTTTGTATCAGTCTATTATTTCTGTATTATTTGGAGCACCTTGAAAAAAAAAAATAGGAAAATAATACAAAATGTATTAATTTTGTATCAGTCTATTATTTCTGTATTATTTGGAGCACCTTGAAAAAAAAATAGGAAAGTAATACAAAATGTATTAATTTTGTATCAGTCTATTATTTCTGTATCAAAATCGCATTTAAAACAAAAAAATCTAAAAATAATACATTCTGAAAAATACAAAAAAAATACATTTAGGAGTTCAAAAAAGGTACAAGAATGATAGACAAAAAGTACATAAAAAAGCTTTAAATAATACAAAGCAGTGCCTAGAAAAGTACTAAAAACGTGAAAAACTTGTTCTTAAATGCAGCTTTCAATCAGATTTTAAAGAGAAATGGCTTTAGATTACTGATTTAGTTACTTTTTGTGCAATAATCTTGATCTTTTCTGTCTTGCATACAGTATTCACTCTTCCATTGTCCTCATTTCTAAGTCATGTTTTATCAATCTTATTGTCTTTGTAAATTGTACATTTATAATGAGATATGAATTCAAAAGTCTAGATCTTCTCTCTGCTTTGGGGTTTCTTTTGCACAGCACTTTACTTTGTTGAAGAAGTACATCTCCAGTTTTCTCACTGTCATCCTGCTTGGTCCTGCATAATCTACAAAATAGAATATCAAAATGTACCGGGGTATATCAAAATTAGATGCACAGACACACACAAAAAGAAATCTTCACATATGATTAGCTGATATTGTCAATGTTACACACCTGTAATTATGCTTCAAGGGGTAGGGTGGGTGGGTGGGTGTCCTATTCCTCTATAACTAATCAGCTTTTCTTCTATGGCTCTGCAGAGGCACTCAAACTGTAAAAGTAACGATACTGATAAATGTTTTGCAGAACAGGTAGAAATACAGAGCATTAAAAAATGAAAATATAAAACTGTCAATACACCTCATTGGAATTTTTCATGGCAAAATATTCTACAAATTGAGCCTTTTATTGGGGGGGGGGTCATTTGATTTGAAATCTTAAACTGATATTGGGCAAGGGAAATACAGATCATCATATATTGATATAAAAAATAATTAGTTTGTGCCCAAAAAAAATCCTTCTTACCACCTTCTTCTCAAGTCATTTTTGAAATAAATTATACGTATGCTAAACCATAAATCCATGAAGCTTAGTTGCAATGATTACCCCCCCCCCCCCTTTCACATTTCAAATTTTAAATGGTTGTATGCCAAGATGATTTTATCTGTTATTATTCCATGTTTAGGCCTGAGGGATAGGGTGAAATTAATTTTTAAGTCATTTTGGTCCATGTAAATAATATCATTTGCCATTGAAAGCCCGTAATTATCCATACAATTCAAGATAGAAAGTAGCATAACAAAACTCTCTTTCGCCACAAATCCAATATATCTGCATTTAATTTGACCTACTATGAATTGGTTATAAAAGAAAACATTTATTAATCTACATTTCACATTTTAAAAATTGAAACAACTGTGCTATTTTATGTAAATTCTTACCGCATATGGCGTTGTTTACACCAGGAAAGCCAGGGCATGATGCTTGAAAAACGCCAACCTCCTTCCGTTTTCGCTTTTCTTTGTTTATAAATGTGATCCATGCTTACATGCTGTAGTTAAACATCTATTTTCTACCAATTTCAAGGGCGAATATTTGCTAAATTTTATCAAACATCACCAACTCTCTCAATTCGGTTCGTCGATCTATTTTTCAAAATGGCGTGGGTAGATTACCGTTAACCAATCAGAGAAAAGCAAAGAAAAATTTTAAAATCTGACCAATCAAATAGCTCCTTATTTACGAAGATTGCCGATTTTCAAATATAAAATATTTTTAACAGTCTAAGGAAATGTATTTATGTACGAAGTCTAATAAGTAATATGGAATCAATTTAATAAACCCTTGATCATTACTAGAATAATTATTAGGAATCATTTCTTATAATCGTTATTTTTGTTTTTAAGAAATTTTCCGATTACAGATGAGAAAGATTTCTGGTCAGCCATATTGTTTTGTTTTTGTTTTTTTAATTATACAAGTTGACCTGTAAAATAGACCATAAAGTTCAAGAAAAGGGATCAATTTAGTGTTAAATCTAAAGCAAAATAGCAAGGCACAGAGCCATGCCCCCTTTTCTCGGCGCCATGTCCTTTTTTCCTAACAAAAAATTAATAAATATTCCCAGTGTAGGCAATATTCCTTAGCTGTTCTGTTTATTCAGTGCATACTGATAATCTCTTGTTTACATAACGCAACCAAGTGTGAATTCACGACAGGAAATCACTTCACGCTTGAACGCAAACACAGCCACCTGGCTAATTAACATGCCTCAGGCTGTCAGGG